TTCATTTAGTGCATTACTTTAAAATAATGGGAAAAGTTAGTATCTGACAGAACTTCTGCTTTCATCGTTCTTTGCTCTTGATCCTATAGAAAGGGTTAGATTAGTTCGAATTGCGGGATCCATCGGGTCTTTATTATGCTCTCAGGTACCTTCTCAATAGGATAAAAGTATGTATTTAATATTGGTGGCATGCCCAGAATAGCTGGCACTCCAAGTACAGCATAACAGGACCCCTAGTAAACTATTATTGCTCACTGTTTTACGACCGAACTAGGATAGTCTTGTTTGCTTCCTGGCCTCATATCCAAAGAAGACGGCTTTGTCTGAATAAAGTTCTGACCTGGACCTCACAGTCCAGCTACAGATAATGCTGGTTTTAGTGGAGGCTTACGATTTCTGTCGTTGCGGTTGGTTTTTTCACAACTGGGTAGTCAGTTAAATACGACGATACTTATTAAACTAAGACGTAAATATCCAGAAAAAGGGGATCTATAAACAGTCACTATATTTCACCTAGGTGAATGTTTGGCAGACATTTCTGAAAAAACGGCATGACTTAAAGCTTTAAAAGTTTCAAAATTTTCAAATTCCGTGCTTCTTGGATAACTCGAATATACGTTTCATGTAAACAACAAACAAAACAGAAGTTAACGATTTCACTAAGCTTCTCGGTCTCTTATTCAACTGCCTTTGCATTGCAATCTAGCCGTTGGTGTGGAACGTGGACTCGGCCAAGGAGACTTCAAGCGTGTTAAGTGACAACTAGCATGGGATGCTAGTCAGACATGAAAGTGGACCTGGAGCTAGGAAATCGTGAGTTCTTGGAGAGGCCTCTGACTTACCGTCAGACGACGAGTTGGTGGCACCAGTTGGAAAATTCACGACTACAACTCGATGTTTCAGAAGAAACTCTTTCCTTATTCATTATATCGACTCGGAATACATGCCACCTCTGATCTAAGCATACACATACATATATATATATGAATAATGGAGGTAGTATGCATTCCGAGGTGATATAATAAAAGGAGAAGGCTCGTCGGAAAATCGAGGTATACTCGTGAATTTTCAAGTCGGTTACACCAACCCGTCGTCAGACGAAAATGAAAAGTGTGAGGGAGATAATCCTACTGGGGAGTCAGGGGGACATCGAGGTTACATCGAAAAGACAGGCGTTTATGTTTGGGGGTGCAGAACGTGTTTGGATAGGTGGCGGACGTTAGGGGTGGTGTAGGAGGTTTCACACATGGTTCACTCTGTGGGGGAGGTGCTGAATCCATGATATTCTACATGGCCGAACATGGATTAGCAGTTGGTGGCTTAGGGTGGGCGCAAGCCGGCGAACCGTGAACGTAAGCCTTCGTATTGAGCGTCCAAGTCGACATGGCGGTTGATGCTATTGCTATTAGAGTGCCAAGCTTCTAGAAACTCTCGCGCTTGTTTGGTGTTGGCACTAGCGATCACTTCGGTCCCCTCCCAGTTGAAGCGGTGATCACACTCAAGGGAGTGCGCAAACACGAGAGACAAGGGGTCCCGTCGGCGGATGGCCAACTTATGTTCGTTAATGTTGGGACCCGCATTAACGGAATTGCAATTCCGAAAGTAGAGCAAGACGCCCTCGAGAGACTGAAGGCTGACAGAAGCATCGTAGTATTGCCAGCCGACAAGGGACGTTCCACAGAAGTGCTCGACAAGACAGATTACCTTCAGAAAGCCAACGCCCTGCTCGATGATCGTCTTGCGTACCTCAGGTGCGACGGAGATCCGATGAAGAAGCTGGTGGCACAAATCAACACGACGCTCGCTAGGTTACAGAGCAACGGTGCCATCTTAAAAGCAGAACGACTGGCCATTAAACCAACAGATTCGGCTATGGCGAGATTCTATGGGCTGCCGAAAGTGCACAAGCCTGGTGCTCCACTTCGACCTATCGTATCTTTGCGCGGAACGCCTACATTCAACCTGGCAAAATGGCTGTTCCGACGTCTGAACTGTCTCACATCAGGCTCCGATACAACGGTCCGCTCAGCCGTACATTTCTCGGAAAGACTCCAGGGTCTACACCTTAATGCAGACGAAGTCATGGTATCATTTGATGTTACCTCCCTCTTCACCTCAATTCCTCAGAGTCTAGCAATTGAAACTGTCGGCGATCTACTCGAGAGTCATTATGACAACGAGACCAATAAGCTTAAACGAGGACACCTTATCCAGCTGCTCCATTTTTGCCTCAAGACCTATTTCACCTTTGAAGGAACGGTCTATGAACAAATCAAAGGAACTCCAATGGGTTCGCCGCTGTCTGGTTTCATTGCTGAGGCGGTCCTTCAAAAGTTGGAGACGCTGGTGTTCGCAACCCACAGACCAATATTTTGGGCACGGTATGTGGACGATACCTTCGTCATCCTCAAGCGGGAGATGGTCTCCGAATTTCACGCGATTCTGGACTCTGTTTTTCCGGACATCCAGTTCACAATGGAGGCAGAAGTCAACAACCAGCTAGCATTCCTAGACGTCCTGGTCCACAGCAAAACTAACGGAAGCCTAAGAACGACGGTATACCGAAAGGCCACCAACACACGTCAGGTCCTCAGTTACTACAGTAACCACCCGTCGTGCCATAAACGTAGCTGTGTGCGGACTCTTTACAAGAGGGCGGAAACTCACTGCAGCGAGGCAGCCGACAAAGTAGCCGAACTCCATTATCTTCGGCAGATGTTCATCTTCAACGGTTACCCTCGTAGTTTCATCGAACGCAGCAGACAACCAAAGAAGGCTATAAGGTCAACGAGAGAACAACCAACAGTGTGGCGGGCGCTACCGTATATTGAGAATGTATCGGAAGCAGTCGCTCGTCTCTTACAACCACTGGGGATCGGCGTCGCCCACAGACCTGAAGCGACAATAAGACGTCTCGTCATGAGACCCAAGGCCCCTCTGTCACGAGGCGAGACAGCGAATGTCGTCTACCGTGTCCAGTGCAGTTCCTGTGAGGCGAACTACGTAGGAGAGACCGGAAAACGTCTACAAACCCGCATGAGTGAGCACGCAAGGGCAGTGAGAAGGATGGACCACCTCTCACTGGTGGCGGAACATTGTGCAGCCTCTGGGCACACTTTCGCCTTCCAGAAAGCCGAAATCCTAGGCCGAGGTACCGACCAGACAGCTAGGGAAACGCTCGAAGCCTGGCACACCGTACCAACCTCCATCAACCGCTGCACGATTCTCCCGGCAGCCTACCAGGCCCTACGAGTGCGGTTCAACCAACGGAATCAAAGGCAGGAAGTCAGCATCACAAGCCCAGGTGAAACAGTTCGCGCCCAAACACCGATGACGGGGGCCAGCAGCCACCGAGGTGCACACGGGCAGAGGCAAACGGACGACAATTACGAGAAACGCGGGTCAGGCACAACAAATGCGGGCAATGCAGACGAGGTCAATGACCGTTGCCATCCCGACACAGCCCACCCGAAGAGGAGACGCAGGATGGGACCGACCAGCACGACAGCAATTAGCTCCTCCCCCCGCAGCAGATCCTGCACGAATAGCAGTAGGAACGACAACACTCCCGCATGCTCAGCACCCATAAATACTGTGAGGCGCCGTACAGAACCCACCTCCGACGATGGAAGCTTGTTTGCTTTTGAAACGTCAGGCTATTAAACCTATGGTTCCCGAGATCGCCTCTTCTTCTCATATATATATATATATATATATATATATTGAAGAAGATGGTAAGGCGAGCTCCGGAGCTCCATCCCCGGAGCTCGCCTTACCATCTTCTTCAATTTCAACACCTGGGGTCAGCATTTTCGCCTACATCCACATATATATATATATATGAAGATAGAAGGCTCGTCGGAAAAAATCGAGTTGTTCTCGTGAATTTTCGAGCTGGTGACACCAACCCGTCGTCAGACGAAATAAACTTTCTCCTCTGTTTATTTCGTCTGACGACGGGTTGGTGTCACCAGCTCGAAAATTAACGAGTACAACTCGATTTTTTCTGACGAGCCTTCTATCTTCATCATATTATCTCGGAATGCACACTACCTCAACCATTCATATATATATACTTATGGTAGGGGGCGATCACCGATCGTTCATACATATAGTAACAAGCTGGCGGACGAACAAAATGGAGTCGCGTGAGATCTTAACCACAACAGTGAGGATCACATGTCTACTTGACACGTTTATATACCTCACTTCATAAAGCCTATGACGCATTGATGGTCGTTAACTACCGCGAAAGCTGGTAACATCAACCCGTCGTCATGCGAAATGAAAACAAGGAAAAAAGTTAGGTTGTCACACTAGACTAGTTAGCGCGACAGGACAGACAGACTAGTGGCCCATGAGAGGGATGGTCACAGAGTTATGGTAGGTCTCTGAGCGAGGGGGGAGAGGGGGGAAGGCGGAACAATTACGGATCCCTGTGCCGGAGAGGGAGGGTGGGTGGTGGATCAATTGAACTCCGGGATTAGCGGCCGTTGATGTGGCAGGGGACAGTAAGTCGTGGGCGTAGGCCCTCGTAATGGGCGTCCAGGTCAGCATGGCGGTTGATACTACCGGCATTGGAGTACCAAGCCTCGATAAATTCTCTCGCCCGTTTTGTGTTAGCCATGGTGACGACCTCAGTGTCATCCCAAGTGAATCAGTAAATATATATATATATATATATAATGACAGATAGGCGCTCACCGATGTGGTTACGGGACATACTCGTTCTGTTGTGCCTTGGGGTTCACAATAGAAGCCCCACAGGCAGTCGCACAGCGACTAGTAGAAGAAGTAAATGAGATGATACCGACGAAATCAAAGGAGACCGTAATGGCCATTTCTGGCTTATTGGCCGCCATCAGCCTGAAATGGCTATCCCGCTCTCCCTTGTCTTTGTCGGTATCGCCTTATTGACATATATATATCACTAGTCGCTATGTGACTGCCTGCGAGGGTTCTAGTTTGACCCCTAAGGCACAATGGGGCAAGCATGTTTTGTAAGCTGATCGGTGAACGCCCATCAACCATAATTAATATTTCCGATCACAACGGACATAAAAACGAGCCCGTGGCTCATCGGTAGAGCGTTCGACTCAATGACTAAAGATCCCAGGTGACTCCCACTTGGGATTGGGTATGACTGGTTGGTGACGGCCAATAAGTGAGAAATGGCCGTTCCGGTCTCCATTGTCTTTGTCGCTATTTGGGAAACGGTTTAGAATAACGTTTTCATTCAAAATTTTGACTAAATAGAGGTAAAGCCTGTGTTCCCTTTCTCTTCTTTCAGGCCTCCTTTCAAAACAAACAGCATTAACCCCTGTTCCCTTTTCCGGAGTGGATGTTCGATTGTCTGGTGTTCTGATTAGAGGCGCTCAAGATGCCTACTACACACATACTGACTCACCTCCGTCATTAGCCGTCTTTCAGAAATATCCCACCGTTATGCATTTTTGGAGCGCAGAGTGTGCGCCTATACATGCGATAAGTTTGTTTGTGTACGGGAGATAGGCACTTGATATTTGTTCTCCTCCCCTAGAACGACTTCCGACAGAACCTGATAAGGAGGTGATGGTGACTAGTAGGTGCTCATCGCCCTTAACTAAACAAAATAGAAAACCTCTGCATATACAATGTTCAGCGAGAGCAAAGGTTTGGGTGTCACTACAGATTGGACTGTTGCTATATGGGCGAGTCTCAAAAGATCTTACTGGCTTTTCGGCACAGAACCCACCTCAGTACTGGCAAGGTCTACAGTGGAAAATGCCACATTTTTCTCATAATGAGGAACTTAATGTAAGATAGATTAGATAGGAAAAAAATCATTTGCGTATGAGAGTTGTGTAAGACAAAATCCTGCAGACGGAAACCGGAGTTTGATTTTTTAATATTTTCAAGATGGGAGCGAGGAAAGGGTCTCATTTTGAGTAGTTTTTTGGAAAGTCCGTTCCTCGAGAACCTCACACGTCACCTATTAGCTTGAAAGGGCCGTAACAACAAAAGTTCCTCTTCCGTTTAAATGGATCATTCAGCGGTACTGCTGTCTTTAAAAGAAAGTGCTTGTGACTCCAGGGCTTTATGACAGGCAGTAATAGTTGGTTCAGTAATCTGACGTCAAGCCATTGGTTTGGTGGTTAGTTCTCCTTGAATGAGAAGCTTGGAGCCGGGGAACGGAATGGAGAATCGCGGTCTAATCTATGTATAGAACCAACGAATTCTATTTGCAAGTAATCACTTCAGAGGACTCCAAACGAATGAGTTTTTATCTGCAATCTCAACTGAAAAATACCAAGTACGTCGCGGAGGCACGAATAGCACATAACAATTAAATTATTGTTCATGGAGAATCCTAGTGATCTGGTAGGTCAATGAAAAATCGTGTTTGTTTGTCACTTACCTCCAACCCTATGATTAAATTAACTTGCCCGTGGAAAGGCAGAGCTGAGTGCAACCCAAGACAAATCGCGTTAGACTGTGGGCTACCAAATCATGCTACTATTTGACTCATATTTCCTTTAAGCAACTCATTTCTATTCAGTTACCGAACCCGTCTTAATGATTCACGAGAGAAAGTAGTTGAGCCGCAAGAAATGAAATCTTAAGACTTATAATGTTATTTACTGACTTTGCTAATTAACCGACACTTCACCTCTTGACCGCTTTGCGCACCTCGACAGAACAACGAAGCCAGTTAGAGCAAAAACTAGCGGAGCGTTGTGCCTGCCTCCGACATCGTGGGCTACTTCAACTAGGCAGCGTGAAACCTGGGCACGTTGACATTCACGTGCCGGCAGCGTGGTAGAGTGCAGTTTTCGCCCTCCACTTTACGGGTTAGCTCAATGTGATAAGGACCAAATAAGCAACCCATCGGCCCTCCTTCCATCCTATGGCTCACGCGGAAAGGTAAGGCGCCTAAAAGATAGGGTTTTATGCAGCCGGCAGTTTGCCGGATGTAAAATTGAGAGGATAGGAAATCTCAGCGGCAAGACGTAAGTACCGCTACTTGGCGCCAGTCAAAGCAATTAAGGACGAAGTATTAATGGCCGATGATTCGAAATTGTCTAGTGAAGTCTTTTTTCCATTCCGACGTTGACTTACCTTCACCACACGAGTAAGAACTAAGTCCAAAAGTTAAGAGCTTGTGAGAGTTTTGAGTAGTCGTTTGGTGGCTCAAAAACGCGAATTTTCAAAAATGAGGTCTGCATACTGTATGACAGAAACCACGGATCCTGAGGGGAAAGGCTTCTGCGTAGAACCGCTTTAATAACCTTTTTCTAATGAGACAAATTCAGAAGATGGCATTAAAAAGGAGAATTTCGACAGAAAATAGGTGCGTGAGCAAACGCGAAAGGCGGCAATTAAAGGTTATACGTCGAATTTCGAAGAACCAGACGTCAACAGTGTCTGCCTAATGAATTTGTACATTCACTGACTCATCACAAACCAGTCAAAGATAACACAGAAAACTGAGTCAGTGACCGTGGGTTTAACTTACTGTCATGACAGCATTCCAGGCAAACTTTTGTCACGTAGGCGGCAGTGGTACGCTTCGTGAACTAATTTGATACTTCATGGAATATCGTTCCTTGCCCTAACAGACCAAAGAGTAACCATTTGGCCGATTTTAATCTAAGACTGCGCTTACTCTTTCTGTCACGAAGTTGTTCCTCCTTGCTTGATTAAATCTGCGCATCAGGGATTCATGAATTCGTCTGCGATAATCTGCTAAGCAGGTGGCTGAGTCAGAGTGATCAGGGGGCGGGGGAGATGCTCCAGCCGGCAGCGTCTTCGCTTTTTCTTATGCGTAAGCCTGAAAAGACATCTTACAAGCAGAATATAGGGAGCGCTTCGGCAAATCAAAGCAGATCACTGACTAGACACTTATAAGAGGTTTGACTTGCATTACTATCTGAAGGCTCTACACCGTGTGTCAAGGACAGCCAAAGTCACTATTTTCATGTCGACACCGTCTGGGTTGCGTTTACGTCACCATAGCTACAGTCACCATGCTCTGTGGAAACCCTAAGTTCGTTGGAAATGGCCCTCAAGCTTCATCTAGTTCTCCAACACTTAGAAGACCGGATCGTAAGGCGCTAGAGATGTGCGTGTTAAAGGGAAAACGTTACCTGTGCGAAAAAATAACGATAGCATTGACACCAATACCAATTTTGGACGGTTATCACTTATCATTCGGGAGTCTCACGATTCTCAACAGGCGAACATACGGCATCAGGCGTCCAGCTCACGGACTTGCTTTACAGAAATAAAGACCTTAGTAAAGAGATGATACACACCCCACTATTACAAAATCAAACAAAATAACGGCTAGATCGCAGTTAGTAGCCAGGCCCCGTATTACAGACGGCTGGGGGTTTGTTTACTGGAGCTGTTTTGTGGGACTCCATAATCTCATCTGACCCATTTGGCTTCCGTTTTACGTTTGAGGTTAGGATTAGGATGCCGGTTAATGGTTTCCGATTTTCAGGTTAGGGTTATGCCTTTAGGCTTAGGTTTTCGGGTTACGGCTAGGGTATGAGCGTACGATTAGGGTTCAGTATTACGGTTAGGCCTCTCAGTTACGGCTATGTCTAAGGGCTACGGTTACGTTTACGATTTCGGCTAGGGTTAGGGTTAGGGTGGGCATTAGGGTTAACGGTCAACGT